ATCTAGTGCTTATTTATTTAGTTAATTTTTTAAAGCAGCATGAGGAAGGGCCAAGCCTAATAGTTGAAGAACCAGCAGAAATAGTTGTAATCAAAAGTTGGAATTGAATAGCTGGAGGAAGGGGAAAGGAGGGAAGGGAACTACCTTAGGAATATGGAGGAGAGAAGATATCCCAGTATGTGACATTGCAGTTCACAGTGGTGGCCTTTCAGCTTCTTGGTTGAAGTTATCCCACTACAATGGACTTCCAGTCTTTAGTTGTTAGGGATGATTGCACAGTTTTCCAGCTCTTGGTTATTTCTGTGATTTCTTGGTGCTACTGCGGATTTCTTATGCTGTCTGGTTGGATTTAGCTCCCAGCTGTCTAAATTTGGGGAGCTGTTGAGCTGTCCTGACACTAAAAGGCAGCATTATAAAGTTTATGTGTTTACCTGGAGTAAATGCATTCTGTGTTAAAAGACACATTTAGCCCTATCTTAACTCCAGGACTTGGACTGATTTTTCTTAGCAGTCTTTGCTGTGTTTTCTCATGGAGCAGCCTTTCTCTCTCAATTTGCAAACACGTGCCTGGTATTAAGACTTTTGACTATTCTGGATATAAAAATCCAGAGCAAATACTGTGTGCTTACCATGAAACTAATCTTTTCTTCTTTATAAGAGGTTATTCCGTTTTGCTATAAATGGCCCATCTTTTCTACTTAGGTTTTTTTTTGTTTTCTTACGTCTTAAGACGTGAAGTTTTTAAGTTGTCTTTTTTTTAAATACAGTCAGATCTTCTAGGATAAAAGTCAGGCTCTAGGAAGTGAGGAAATGCTTGACTTAGCATTGCAACAGAAAATTCTCGAAGGCAATAAAATTGTGTACCTAGGGCATGGCAATAATTTGATGCATGACTGCTACAGTACTGAGCTGTTTGTGAGAAACTTTTACTGAGCTGTTTGTGAGAAACTTTTTAGGAAGTGCTTAAAAAAATCACCTGTTAATAGATGGGGTTTTTGTCTTTTTGTTTCTCCACAGTTTACCCACACTATTTCTACCGGTGATATGCAGCATTTTGGAACATTTGGAACTTTTAATCTGTTAATACTTGTTAAATGGACACTTTGAGATATTTTATTACAGAGTTTTTAATTAGCAAAAAAATTCATGAGTACTATAGAGAAAATATTTTAGAACCTAAATGTTTCTTATATTTATGTGACTTCTCATTTATATAGTTACTTACTCTTTCTGTTTGTATTCGGTCTACAAATCAAATCATTGCTGATTTTTATTCTAATTTTAGTCTTTCCAACTGAATGTACTGTAATGCTTGTATGTATACGTCCCTATAAGTAATATAGGGTTTTTGTAAATTATGCAGTTACTGTAATTATCATTGTTTTTTAATAATGAAACAGAAGGTGAAAAGGATTTTCGTACCTTTGTAAAAGTATCATGACACCGAGCAGTATCTATTTTGTCTTTTGGAAATGTCGGCCAGATCAAAAAGTAAGTCCATCTTTTTCTCAGATAAGCCCTGGCGTGGCTATAAAAGGTATGGTACAAGACTGTTGCTCTTCTCCGAACTGTACCTTTCCACAAAGACGATTTGTCAAGTAGTGGGAATTTGTCTTTATTTAAGATGTAGCTTGCTTTAAAACTTGGAAAAACTGAAACGTTTTAGAAACGATCGACTCGGTCATAACTCTGTCTTAGCTGTATTTGCATAACATATCTTCACAGTGACTGAAAACAAGCCATAAACTCAGAGATGTTTTTCCTTAATGAGGAAGACAGACTTCATAATAATTCCCGGCAAGAGTAATCCACAGGCCACAGAGAGAGTTTTTGTCCTAGACCTTTTTGATTGAAAACCCTTGGGGAAAGGGTAAAACTAGTTTTAATGGACCAATTGTGAAGCGCTGCAGTATCCTGTGAGTTGTATAGTGAAACATGAAGGTACCATATGCTGAAAACAGAGCAGTGCAACTTCTAATAAAGGCCTTACTTTTCTTATGTAAGTCATCTTTTGGTGTTTTGTAAGCTTGTTCTAAAGAGTTGTCTGGACTTTTTGATGGTTGTAGCCATTTTGGACTGTATGAGTAGGAAAAAAATGTATTTGACACTTGTAAATGGCATATTAAAAAGCCAGCAAGAAATCTGTTCAGATCATGGTGCATTATTTATTATGCAACAATATATATAGCATGTCTTTTCTTATTTTGTTTTTCACTTTTAACTTGCTTGTAAAACTGAAATTCATTGTTACTGTTCTGTTTTTCTATTAATCTTTTGTGTATTTTCAGATTATGTAACGATATGTACAGTCTAAGTACTTTTGAACTATTTTTATCACAGTATTATTTATTGCTTTCTTTCAATAAAGTACTGATGCGTTTTCCACTGCCAATAAAACACTATTGAAAAGCTAAGATCTAATTGTACGCAGGCAGGTATTTTTGCGGTGAGTGGAGACTGTCAATAAAGCATCTTAATGATTGATTGCTGCCCTGTAGATCTTGTTTCAAATGATGGGTTTTCTCTTCTTCAGTAGAAGAATGTTGCATTAGATACGACGTTTTCTGGAGTATTGAGTTCATCAGCGTATCATCAGTTTCGAAAAAGTTTTCCTAAAATAACTGCTATATTGCCTACTTCTACTGGTAGCTGTGATTTACATCTTGTAACACCCAACTTCAGTGTTTTCTGGTCCACACGTGGTGAAGATTGACGTGCTGTTCTGTGTAGCAGCAGCAGTTGCTTTGTTCATGAAAGAGACTCTGACAATAGTGATATTTGTGGGGAGAAACATTTGGACTTTTTGGGGAACAAATGCAAAATTGGGTCACAATAGGGCTGTTTATTTCAGTTTAAAAATGCCTAAAGCCATTTTTTGTGTAGAGGAGAAGGCTGAAGGATAAACTTACAGAATAATAGAAGCAGTAAGTGAAGCATATTTCATCACGTCCTCTAGATCGATAGCAGGATGTGGACTATATGGACTGGAGACCTATTGCGACGGATGCTTTAAACACTCTTCTATAATACATCTCTGTTTGTTTCTGTCTAGCTTGTCTGTATGAACTGCTATCTAATAATTTGTGGTTGCTTTTATAAGATTTCAGAGAATCTTTCTAGAAAAAAATAAAATGAAAGTGCAGAAGGAGACTTGACTCACCGTTCAGTTAAACTTCACTGCTAAAAAAAATCATATACGTTTTCTGCTCACTGATGCAATAGATGTATGAAGTCATGTATTGTTGCGTCTCAGAAGTAAATACAATGCTTGTGCAAAGGAAGTGCGTGGTTTTTGTAAGGCTGTAGAATCTAAACTTACGGGACAATGGAATGGACAAGAGAGCTGGAATAAATGTGTGAAATGGAGGGAAAAAAAAAAAAGCTCATGTGAACTGACAGACTGTGTGTTGACATCCTTCTCAGCCCTACAGTGTAGCTTGTACCCTGGGCACGCGAGGAAAACGCTTCTAGTCAGCTTTAAGGAACAGCCCCCTGGAAAGTAAAACATGTAAGTACATGTACAAGAGCCTGGCGGTACTGTACAAGAGACTTTACTTAAGAGTACTCTTAAGTAAAGCTGGGTTAAATGTAGTTTTCTGTAAAATGGCAGAAGTCTTTAAGGACTTGAGTTGGAAAGATTGTAATAAATACTTCCTTAGAAAGTGAGAGCCTTCTCTGACAGTCAGAAGGAGATGGCAGGGTTATCTGGAAGAACTTTAAACTTCCAGTTTTTGCATATTTAGAGGCCAGAGGAATCTCTCAATAGAGATTAAAACAGATATTAAAACTTCTTGTTTCTTCTTTTGAAGCTACATAGAAGGCAAAGACAAGAAGTTGCTTTTACGGGGCCTTATGGAGAGCACCTGTTTATCATGCTGAACCTGTCGTGGGGAGAACGGGGGCCGTGGTTCAGATGCACCTTCCTTCCCAGGAACCCGGCTGAGCTCTTGGTGGGACTAGGTAGGCTGAGACTGGGGAAAGCAAAGTTCATCTCCACTTAACACTCTAAGTGGCAATTTCTTATTTATGTTTCAAGAATTATTTGGGGGGATGGGATTTTTGGGGATGGGATGGGGGAGGCCTTTGTAGCAGCAGTGTTTTTCACTTATATCCCTTGTCAGGATAACATGATAAGCAGGGAGTTGAGGCTAATACTTTAACTTAGTCATTTAGTTTTATTCAATTCAATTTTTGCTAATGGGTGAGGTGGTTGTGTCCAAAGCCCGTCCCTCGCGGTGTATATGGCCAGCAGCCTCCCGCCTCTCCCGCAGGCTCCAAGGGGCTCCTTTCCCACCACCCTCCCCGTAGTGGTGGGAGCACCGGGGAGCCCTCCAGCCTGGGACAGGAGCAGGGAAAGGCGGGTCTCCCTGCCCTTTCCCGTGTGCTGTCAGCAGTGAGCCCTGCCTAGCTCATTTTCAGATATGCAATGACTCTTTCAGTGATAAGCACAGGTTACATTTTTCTCCTTCCCTGCACATCCCGCGTGCTTTACCCATGCGGGCAGGCACAGTGGGAGCCGCGGATGTTCCCGGTGGGCACACAGCCATCCCGGAGCATGGAGGGAGGCCTGGTACCAGCTCCTCCTGCGTGTGCCCTGGCCAAGCCAGGGCCAGCGCCCGGAGGCCACGGCCTTTTCCTAAAGCCTTGGGGGCCACTAGGGTGGGTAAAATGTCAGTTTCCTCCAGAGTGGGGGAACAGATCAAGGCAAAGCACCCGTCCGCCTCCAAAAAATATATATATATCTAAAAATATATATATACACACACACACGTGTGTGTGCTGCGCTGCCCCTTCCCGACGGTGGGAGGCCGGGAAGCGGGGAGGAGGGAAGGCCCATCCAGGCACCGGGGCCTCTTCCCCCGCCGCGCGCCCGCAGCCGCGTCACGGCCCGGCCCGTCCCATCCCATCCCGGCCGCCTCCCACCTGGAGCCGCCCCGCGGTGCGGGAAGAGGAAGTGGGAGCTCGGGAGAAGCGGAAATTGCAGCAGCCGCCGCCCGGCCGGGAATCACCGCGGCAGCGACGGGCAGCGGCGGCCGCAGCCCCGGCGGCAGCGACGTGAGCGCCGCGGCACGGCACGGGACGGGACGGGACGGGACGGGACGGGGCCCTCCGGGTCGGGCCGGGCCGGGAGGGCTGTCCGGGCGGTGGCGGCGGCTTTTGTTGGGGCAGGGGGGCCGGGCGGGCGGGAGCCCCGGGGCTCCGCGCAGCAGCGAGCGCGGCCCGGCCCGGCGCATCCGTCCCGGGCAGAAGGCGGTGCGAGCCTTGCGCCCCTTGGTTTTTATTTAATTTAATTTAATTTAATTTTATTTTATTTTATTTTATTTTATTTTATTAACACTCCAAAGCTGTTTATGACTGGAAGGTTCCAAGAGAAGAACCCCCCCCCAAATAGCCCCCAAATCCGCCCCAAGCGCACAGCAGAGCCGCGGCCGCCGCGACCGGCAGCGCTGCCACCCTGGGGTGCCCGGCACCCGCAGGCCCTGGGTGCCCTGGGCGCCTCGGCCCTCGCCGGGCAGCCCCGGTCCGCCCTCACCGCAGGGGCGGCGAGCAGAGCCGCCCGGCTTGGGAGCCCCAGTTCAGCCCCAGTGCCTCCGAGCGGCAGCGTTTGCTTTTTCCTTCAGAAATCCGACCATGTGAGGCAGTGACTCATAAATAGATCATGTTCCTCGCCATGCTGCTTCGGAGAGGATGTTCCTGGGATAGCAGGATCCTGAGGAAATCTGGCGAGTGAGCGCGAGCTCCCGGGCAGGTCCCGGTGTGTTTGCCCTTCTCCCCTTCATAATGCCGTTCCTAAGATGCAAGTTCGAGACACGGAAAAATGTTGGTGGTTTTGTGTGTGATTTAGGGAGGAACGTGGTGTCCTGACAAGGATTTCGCTTTGTGTTTTAAAGGGCTGGGAATCCTCCTTCCTTGATTATTGTTTTAAAGAGTTCGAGGAGGAAGCAAAGAAATCCAGACCTGAACTCTCCCTAGGTCTCGTGTTTCTGAGCACCCCGGCAGGGCTGCGAGCACAAGGGCCGAGTGAGGGCCGGGCTGCAGGCCTGCGAAGTGCGGCTGGGTTCCACACAGCCTGGCGGATAGAGCTGCCCTGTGTGCATGTGATGTGTGTGATCCCCTCCTTGTGCTTTAAAAGTGCGAATTCTGTTTCTCATACGTGAATTATTCACAAAGGCAGCCTGTGTCCTGAGGAGACTAACATTTAATATATGTGCAGTGGGCTAAGGCGTTCCGAATCTTTAAATGATTTTATGCAAATTTTCCTATTATGCCGCAGAACAACTGCCTCTCCGGCCCCGTGCAACGTTAACAAATGCCTTGTGATGCCTGCAGAACATCTCTCTGCCCTGCATTTGTCTTTAAAGGGGAGCTTTCATTCCACTCTCCGTGTGAATGACATAGTCCATGGCTCTCATCCTTACAATCTACTCCTAATTAGAAAAAGGAAAGTGTGTGATAGGACCAAATGATGCAGTGTTGAAGAGCTGTGTTCTGGTGGTGTCGTAATGAAAGAAGAAAGTTCTTCCTACGTACCTGGAAGGGCTGGGGGAATAAAAACCTCCTTTGTTGGCATTTTTCATTTTTAGAAAGACGTTGTTGTTGCTCTATATAGGTTAGTAGTTATAGAAGCAATGACTGCAGAAAAAGTAATGACATGGGCAGGGGATCTTGAGTTAGAGAGCGCTCTCAGGAAGGAAAGTTGTTTTTAAGACCTGTCTGAGCAGTGTTTGTTCAAAGCAGTGGTTTAAAGCGAGCTGCTAGTGAGGGAAGGGAAGATGCAAATACTAATAATATCATTAGTATGGACTTGTTCTCTTTGAAATCGTGTTAGTGATTATTTATAGCCTTTTTTTGTTAGTGATGATTTATAGCAGCATCGACAGGAAAACTAAAGAGAGTTTACAGAGTTTTCAAACCACCTGGAGAAGAAAGACAACCATGATCAAGTATATTTTCCCTGCAAACATAGCTGAGTATTTGTCCAGTTATATAATGCGCCTTTTTGGGAATTTTGAAGTGCATCTCCATCAATGCACAATGTCAACGTTCCGTGTCGCCTGAGCGTGACAGTGCTTCTTCTGATGAAATTGCAGATGTGGAAGGCTACTGCAGGTCACACCATTTCGGTCAGTCCGGATGATGGAGCTGACGACTGGGAGACAGACCCTGATTTTGTGGTACGGCCTTCACATCCTGTCGGCTCCGCGGAGCGGTGTTACGTGAACGTGTTAGGGAGCGACCCTTCCGCATGGGGGTTATGAGAGGAACTGATGTGTGTGTGTTCCAGCGGGAGAGAAGAGCAGGGGGTTGTGCCTATGAGTGCTTAACGAGCCTGTCTCGTCCTCCCTGGGCATGGCAGGGCAGCCTGTACCCCGGATTACACGATACTTGTTGTTGGAGCAGCAACCCAAAGTGTGTTACGTGCAATCCAGCAGTGGAAAATGCACGGGGATCACAGACAACCACAAGCTGTAATAGCTGGGTGTCGTCGGGGGACTGGAGAAGCTGCCCCGGGAAGGCTTTTGCTGCGAGCTGTAGAGTCTAGGCAACCACTGGTGTTTTGGGGCTTCTAACTCTGTTTCACGTGTTCCCTTCACAGAACGATGTGAGCGAGAAGGAGCAGCGCTGGGGGGCTAAAACTGTGAACGGATCCGGCCATCAAGAGCACATCAAGTAAAACAGTTCTCCTTTGAATGTATTTCTAGATACTATCCCAAGCAACTATTAACCCGTTCTTGATCTCAGTTATTTGTGTCTTCATGATTAAAACAAGATAGAAGATTATTTGCAACATTGCCATTTTGTAAATGTTAGCATCTTCAGAAGGGAATTAATGATATAATTCAGGATGTAGCAACCCTTAAATCTTTTTAACAGGAAATATTATTCTTCCTGCTTCTTTGTGTCTGGAAAATTGCTCTGCTTTGTTTCTGCTCCAGAGCAAATACTGCAAGGGAAGAAGCTTTTGTTGAGTGATGTGGGCAGCTCCATTTGGTATTTTAAGGGTGCATTTGCTCCTTTAGTTATTAGGCTTTGCTTAGAAAATAGCCTACCAAGCTCATAAAAATTCTGGCAAGGTAACAAATTGAGCCCTCTGGCAGGCAGGAAAATGCATTCCCATTATAAATGGGTACAGGAGACAAAACCAATCCAGCTTCTGGACCTGGCACTTCTTAGGCAAAGCGTCCAGGATTTTACATAATTTTAAGGAACTTTAGAAAGCCTGTGATGGTGCTATTCTTTTTGGTTATGTATTTCTGGAGCCTCTACTCGCGTGGTCTGTAGCTAGGAGTACGGACCATCGGTATTGCAAAGGGAGAGAGATTGACCGTGCTTCAGGGATCAGTTTTCCTCTTTTATTTGGAACGCAGTGGTGACACCTACTGGCTGGCTAGGCTTTAAACTCAGGTGGGAAGGGTTTAAGGTACTGATGACCACCTTGGCTTGTGCTCTCCTACGTAGCCTGCACTACTGTAAGCTCAGTTCTTGCCTATTGCAAGGGAACATGTGATGAAGAGGAGGTGAATGTCTGCTCTGCATCCCTATTTTGTGTTCTGTTTATGTCCAAAATGTTCAGGTAGAATCAGGGGATACAATATAGTACAATAGGGGATGATCCCTATTCTGAAAAGGTGTAATGTAAATAAAAAGGATTAAGAAGAACTGAAATTGAAGTGGGACATAAGAGTATTTTGAGGCTTAAGTAATTAATTGTAAGGTCATTGAAATAGCAAAACATACTGCTATGCTATAGGCTTAAAACCAGCCCTTTCATTTTTTTCCAGAAAATGTTTTACATTGGTATGAGTTCTGATTCTCAGAGTGTGGTGAGAATATACTCTGTGTACTGAAAAAAGGGGAAGGCCTTGAAAAAGGGGAAGGCCTTGAAAAACACAAGTTGCCCTACTTCTAGAGCATCTTCTTACATCCTGTTTTGCATCCCTTTGAAGTTATCTTTTGAAACTTTTTTTGGTAAAACTTGTTATATAGCGACTTAATTGCTTGTCTTTAAAGTATTCATCAGCTGCGAGAGAATGTCTTCCAAGAACACCAGAACCTCAAAGAGAAGGAGCTCGAAACAGGACCGAAAGCCTCGCATGGCTATGGAGGGAAGTTTGGTGTGGAACAGGATCGCATGGATAAAGTAAGTTTGCCTGCTTGCCTGGCTGGCACCGTAAGCCTCGCTCTGCCCGTGCTTGGGAGGACTCCCCACGTGTGTCTCCAAAAATGTTGTCATTCCAGCTTTGCCAGGATGCTGATCCCAGGAAACTGGGATCATGACATGATCCCAACACAGCCACAGCTCGCTCTGAGGACAGAGTGATCACCCTAGCAGTGATGTAGTGAGGCCACTTGTAACCACGGTCATCCAAGTCTGTGGGAACAGCAGAATCTCAGGCCATGTTCCATATTTAAATCAAGAGTTTCCTGTGTGAAGAGCTGCACTAAAGCACTTGAAGCGTCAGGGACTAGTATTTCAGATGGCACATTAGGAATCTGTGAATGATGAGGGAAGTTCTGGGGTGTGCACTGGCATTGCATGGTCCTGTTTGCTGCCTGCTCTAAAGCAAGTGGGTACCACACAAAAAAAGCAACTTGCTCACCCTCTCAATTCAATAAAGCAAAAGGAGGATCACATAAAACCCCGTAAGCCGTTCAACCTGGGTACAGTTATGTGCAACAGATCATAGAGTCTTCTCTTTCTGCCTTTGCTGAGAATGATGTGCATCTAGGCAACAGCCTCAAATCATAGATTAAAGTGGAAAATTGCAAGTTTCTTTGGCTGTGTTCAGCGTTGGCTCTGTACAAGAGAACTCTTCTTTTTGCTATGTTACATAGCAACCCTCAAGGCTGTAGCATTGATTCCAGCTCTAGGAACTAGAGAGTATCTCTAAGAGGGAATGTTAGCCCTAGATTAATAAGCTACTGGAAAATGTTATCTATGAGTACAGTAGGATGTACTTTCAGGTGTGTAATTCCATAGGCGCTTGTCAGGGACACGTGTCGCAGTGACACCTCAGGTTGCTGCGTCCGGGCTCGTGTTGCAGCAGGAGGCTCAGACAGGAGCTTGCAGGGCAGGGGCTGCTCGCTCTTGATACAGATGGGCTGCTTCGTCTTGTGATGCCATCTTGCACACAGGGAGAAAGCACAGAGAGTAGACATGAAATACCCATTTACGAAGAGGATCAGGATGCCTGCCTAAAACACTGCTGGGTTGCATCTGTGGGCTCCAGGGCCAAAGTACAAGGCTGTGTGTTTTTTCTGGAATTAGTCTTTACTTTAAATTTTGTTTGCATGACACCAAGATTCATTATTTTTCTTGTTTTCATCAGTGTTGTTTGATGTATAAATCCAGAGTGTAAAACAGCCTCTAAAACATAATTCTTCTCAGGCTTTTTTGGCACTCCCCTTGCTCAGGCTGTACTGGTGACATGGTGACAGTCTTGTAAAGACTTCTCGACGAGTCACACTTTACATGATATGTAGCTTCAACACAAAGAACAGGCGTGATACATGTCTGTAGCGATGCTTGTGCTCAACCTACTTGGTGCTCTTAACTACAGAACTAAACTATAGAACTGATACCTGTTTTGTTCTTTCCAATTTCTTTTAGTCAGCTGTTGGACATGAGTATCAATCCAAGCTATCTAAACACTGCTCCCAAGTGGATTCAGTGAAAGGGTTTGGGGGCAAGTTTGGAATACAGACAGATAGAGTTGACCAGGTAAGCAGTTTCTTCTTGTACTGTTACCTATAGTGGTTGTGTTTATCCATTTGTAGGCACAGCTGAAAACTTCCAATGCCTAAAAGTGCTATTGCTGTTTGTTCTTAGTGCTATCCTTGAAGTGTAGCAGTAAATTGTCATTGACTGTTATGGAGTCTAATTTCCTTTTAAATTAAAGCAAAAAAGTGTCTCATGGGGAAACTAGGGAAAAGCGTCCTGATTTCCAAAGAGATATTAAATTATGTCCTTTAACCAGGCAGTATTATTCACTGAGATTAAAATAAGCATGAATGTTACCAGAGGAAGATTTGCTGAACACTTCTTCATTTATTGCGACATGAGCTACGGCATGGAAGTGCTGAATTTCTGTTGTACTGGGTTGCTGAACCTAGCAAGACTCTCAAGGATGTTGCTAGGACAATTTGCTTTGGCCAGAGATAACAAAAACTGAGATTATCGTGCAAACAGATACAACCTATAGATCTTAGCTAGGCATTTGTGCTCCAGATCAACGAGGTCAGGTCAGTACTGAGGGATATTTTTACTCCCATGCTGTTTGTCCACTGAAGTGCTGGAAGCTTTTTCTGCTATGTCTAACCCCTTGTCATATTTACATGGCTGTTTCTCTTGCAGTCAGCTGTTGGGTTTGAGTACCAAGGGAAAACTGAGAAGCATGCCTCTCAGAAAGGTGAGGTGATCACATCGGCAGCTGCGGGGCTTTTATGCCTCTTAGAATGGGTTCTTACAGTGCTTGTGTAACAGACCTAGCACGGGTCCCTTACAATGGCCCCAATCCAACATTGTCTGTGAATCAAACACATTCACAACGTGTGTGGGTGGGAGAAAAGATGGAAGAATGAATTTCAAGGCAATTTCATGAGATGATGAGCTTTTAATAAAAGGGAATGGCCTATCATTGAGAAAGACTCTTTTTTTATAGAAGTGAAGTTCAAGGCATTTTAGAGGGATGGGGAATTGTTCTTGGCTGCCTGGCACCCTATCCATTTAGGAGGAGGCACTGTGAGCTATAGGACTGTCTAAAATCTAAATCTAAAATATAGGTTCTAAGCAATTCTAAGTAATGATCAAGCTGCTGTTACCTTGGAAGTAGGGCGTGTGGATTTGTTCAGAGTTTTTCGTGATTTTTATTTTTTTCCTGGAGAAGTTGTAGCTTGAAAAACTGAGACCACAGCAAGGAACTGTCTCTAAAAAAAACCAACTGTCAGTAGAATAAAGCATTTATCAGAGTGAGTAGTGTTTAGAGTTATTAGTGTGCTGCTAATCAGGTTTCTAGGCATATCTGGTCAAAAAAATAAGTGCTTTATTGAAAATGTTGACATTTTTGCCATCTGTTTCCTGTTTATCTCAAAAATATTTGCACTCTAGAAATGTTAGAGATGAGGGGACTGTTTTTTGTTTAAAAATCTTATTGGCTGTTGCTGACCGTTTTTGAAGTGTACTTTGCTATTAGTGTCTTAAGGATTTTATCAAGGAATCAAGTTGCAGAATTGCTGTGCCGATGCCACCGAGTAGTTGAGCTACATGTGATGCTGTTTTACTCTTCATGTTAAGAAAGCTGTAATCTAAAGAATTTATGAATTCAGTATCAGGAACCAGGATTGACAAAGGATGATGATGCTTCTTTCCATATGTAATTTAATGTTAGCCGATACAGTTAACATGGTTTTCCAGGATAATATTTTGTTGTTGAATATTTATAAGCAAAAATCTTTACTCTTATCTCTAGATTATTCCAAAGGTTTTGGTGGGAAATATGGTGTTGACAAGGACAAAGTGGACAAAAGTGCTGTTGGTTTTGACTATCAAGGCAAAACGGAAAAACATGAATCACAGAAAGGTTTTTATTATCTTTTTTTATAAGAATACTGATTCAAATCAATCAGCCTTTGAGACCTGGAAAAACATACGTTGTGTTGTTAAATGTGTGTTTGCCCTTTGTGTAAATAGCTTTTTGATTCCCTTAAATGAAAAGCAAGGCATTGTAAACTGTCCCTGACTTTCTCCATCTGATTTCCAAAGGAGCTAGGTCCTTATGGGTATTACTGAATTAAATGTGTAACTGCACAGATGTACAGTCTTCAGAGGCAGTAACAATGCCTTTATTATTTAAATACCTGTGTTGTAGATGTGTGTAGAGATGCACATATTGTAAGATTTGCCTTTAGATAGAAAACACATCAGATTCTTCATGTATCTGAGTATTACTGACTCTGTATGCTGTAATCTACCTTGGATTTGGGAGGCATTTTCCTACACTGTGATCCTAAAGTTCCCGGATGGGTTTCCTTCCATTTGTTGAGGTAGTTTAGCAGGGGCATAAAGACTGGTGCATATTATTAATGACAGGACAGCATATCCAATAACATATCTGCCAATGTTGCTCTTTCTTTCTAAATCCTCCTAACGAGCATAAACCGTGGTAACGTTGTCTGGGGTTTCATGCACGCAGATTATGTGAACGGGTTTGGAGGCAAGTTTGGTGTGCAGACCGACAGGCAAGACAAGTGTGCGCTCGGCTGGGATCACCAGGAGAAGGTGCAGCTGCACGAATCCCAGAAAGGTACTTCCACTCTGGCTTCTTGGTCATTCTTCCTACCTTTGGTTGTTTAGACTCATTTTCCCTGTGTGAACCCTCAATTCCCCTTGTATCTTTGGCTCACATGTATTTCCTTTCCTTCTGGTTGAACTGTCATTGGGTTTGGTTGTACTGGTTTCTTCAGAGCAGCCTAGAACGAATCTAATATTGAACCACTGAAATTTCTCACTTGGTGATAACCAAAGCAACTTTATGGATCTACAGATAGCCTGGAATATTTTTTTCTTTTCAGCTGATTTGTACAAATCACAGATTACCAAAATCTTTGTAAAACATTCCATGAAATTAACAAATAATCTTCCTTTTCTTCTTCTTTTTTTTTCCTCCCCAACCTACAGGGTTTCTCCCATGCAGGAGAAATCTAATGTTTAATGTTTAATGCTGCCTTTTCTCACCGTCTGTATGGTAGTTATTCCCATGAAAGAGTGACAAGCAGAAAATAAGGTCCAAAGCAACCATCTCTTCCCTGCCCCCCCATCTCCACTTTTAACTTAAAGGAATTAAATATTTTTCCTTTAATTAAACTAAAGCAATTAAAATTGGCTCCCAGAATATTTTTCTGTTGGATATTCTAGCAAGTTTTACTGTGAGAGATTACCTCAAGACCTAGTTTTGCTACCCTCATTTTATACAGTAGGTTACAAAAGCTTTTCTAAAGCAGCAGTAGTGAATGGTCATAACTCTTAGCTAAGAGCTTTTTTTCTGCAGAAGAATAGCAGCAAGAATATTCCTTCCTTTTTAAATTATGCTATATAGAAATATCTGAAGGCTACTATATATGGACCTTATCTAAACACCTCTTAAGAATTCAGGCTGTACTATACATGTCCAATATTAAACATACTGATGTAGGAAACTCATTGCACTTGTGTGAATCCTCTTGTTTCTTGTTTTGTTTTGGTAAATGTTTTATCTATGTGTTTGTGTTCACAATGTTGATGAAGAGCAAGTGTGCTGTGCCGCATGTATGAAAAATGCTGAGAAGTACTGTTTTTTTCTGAGACTTCAGAATGGTTTTCCCGTGTCTGATACCTCATGTTGACCGCTTCTTAATCCTAATTGGAAATTTCTTCTGAATTTAGACTTTCAAAAGTGTACTTAAATTTCTTTCACCATCCAAAATTATTGGTAATTCAGAAATGTTGCAAAAGTTACTTTGAGTGTCTGTGACTAAACTTCTTTATTTTCCTCCATTTTATTTTATTACATGTGGCTTTTTCAGACTATAAGAGTGGTTTCGGAGGGAAATTTGGTGTGCAGAGAGAAAGGCAGGACCCATCTGCTGTGGGGTTTGAATACAAGGAGAAACTAGCCAAGCATGAATCTCAACAAGGCACCGTTTTCACTTGTTTCTATCTTATCAGTGCAGCCACTTCTCGCACAGTCTTAAATAGTTGTCTAAGTAGATTGATGCTAGTAACGTGCGGACACTTCCTTGCGCTTCTATTCCTATATTATCTAGCAATACTCTTCCATTTTATTTTTAAAATGAGTTACATAAAAGAAGCCTGTATTCAGGAAACAGGTATCCGATGTTTACCTAACAGCCCTACAACATTATGCATGTAGTTAATAGCTCTCCATACGATGTGATCATACAAGCATAATTGCTAATTTCATGTTAATGACATTGTGTTTGCCAGTTTTGAAGCCTTAGTGTGAAACTTTGCCTGGATAAACTGGTGGTAGAAAAATTACTCAAATAAGGGCCATACCTGTAACCATTAGCAAGCACATTTTAAAGCATTTGTAGTCTTTAAAACAAGAAATAGGGAATGTTTGTGGTTTGTGGGTGAGCAAATGCTGTTATAATGCTCTCTTTATTCATTGTGAAATAGTTGGGGTACAAACCATGAATTCCTGGTTTTCCGTTATCTTAAAGTGAGAAGTCTGGATCAGGAAAATGTAAGTGTAGCATATTTATTCTGGCTGAAAATACATACAAAGCTGAAGAAAATGAAGTTGTTCATTCTTATAGTCAATACTTATTTGTGCAATAGTGAAACAAATTCAAGCTTCCAGAGTGTCAGATGTGCCTTAGCAGAACCCAAGTACGAACACTAAGATAGCTGTCTAGTTGACCCAAGTGATTTGGGGACTGAGAGGAAAAGGAATAATTGGAATTGTTTTCCAGGGGTATATATGAAAGCCTTTCCATCTGCAAAGTCTGAGCTACAGACAGCTCAACAGCTTCCTGCCACCAGAAAGAGGTGTTTGTCCAGCCACACACTCCTGCTTTCTCCACTGCACTGGCCCTGGTGCTTGTCACACGTTTCTCTTGAGATTTCCAGCTCACTGGGAACAGCAAAAAAATGGTATTTTTATGCCACTAGTTAATTAAACTGGTTCTGGAGAATAAGAAGCGCTAGAGCCAGTGTTAGGTGAGAGTAGGAGTGTGCAGCAAAGAGATGGTATCAAACAGCAGGGCCGTCCCATTTCTGTGGTGGTGAGTTGTTGCAAGATCATGCTGTCTTGGGGAATTGGCCCTTTCAGTCTGCAAAGTAGGGGTTACTAATAACTTAAATGTTCATCAGTTGGGTATCATGATTAGAGTCCCTGGAACAGGAAATTTGTTACACTTCCTGCCACTTGTAGAATGTATCAAGTTGAGAAAAAAAACATCTCTGTGATCACTGAAGACTGGATATCACTGCTTCGAGTGACTTAGGTTACATGACCATTACAGAAGGCTAAGATTTGGTGCTGTGAAAGGCTGTGTTACAGAAGTGATGCATTAGAAGGGCTTACTCTTTGCTTGAAACCTCGTCAGTCCTCAGCTTAATGTTTCCCCCAAGAATGCATGTGGCCTACGATCCCTCTCATCTGCTGGTGTACCTGAAGGCTCTGGCAGTTGCGTATCCTTTCTGCATCAAAAAACAAGCTGCATTTTCTTTGGCGGCTGTCACTGTGTCTTTGCATGCAGCTGAAATGGCTATTTGCATCTGAAATGGCTGCTTGCATTTGGCAGAAAGATGGACAAATTCCCTATTCTGACCGTTTGTCCTGCTTTTAGATTACTCAAAAGGATTTGGTGGGAAGTACGGTGTGCAGAAGGATCGGATGGATAAGGTAAGCAGCTTGAAAGACCCACGACTTCAATAGTCATTGGGGATATAAATTACCATGGCTAGATTTATAGTATTCATATCTCTATTACTGGATATTTTTCCAGTCTAATAGTGAAGTTTTTCTAGGTTTCCCTAAATCTTTTTACAAAACCAAGGCTGCCTGATACCAATTTATATGCATATATATGCATAGTGTGGAAAGCTGAAGCATCCAACTGAAAGGACAGCAAAAATTACACAAAAGAATAAGAAAATCCCATGTTTTCAGTCATGTCTTCTAACAACCAGCCTTATCATATTCGTTGAGAATATGGCCTGAGTGGGCTGCTTAAAACAGGTGCCTATTTTCTTTCAGCTTTGCCCGCTTCAATTAGAAATAATCTTCCCCTTAAGAGAATTTGTTAAGAGAATTTAAGAGACTCCTACAACAGTAAAAGACAGGACAGTTGATACCCTCTTTCTGTTTCTTCGTTCGTTAATTAAAAAAAAAAAACCTAAAATATGAAAAGGTCCACATGGAAGCTTATTTACTGAATTATCCCTCTCAGCTGCATATAAGTAATTTAAAAGTGAGAAATTGGAAGAGTTTGAAAGTCTGTAGCAGTCCTTTTTATGGTGGCTTCAGGACTCAAAGACCCTGAAGCTCCTAATTGAATACTGCCCTCAAAATACTTCCTCTGTTCAGGCAATCTGTTTGTTTTAGAGACCTGGATGCTTTTACCTTGGTAAAATCCTGCACCACATGGATTAGAAATAAACAGCTACACAGTAAATGTTTAGGAGTTGCCTCATTGTAGTTCTTATGAATCATGTGTTCATAAATTTTCCTGTTTTTTTAATAGGAGTTTAATGTGTGTGTGTGTGTGTGTGTGTGTGAAGATTAAACAGTTTGACTTGTTGAACTAATTACTCCTTAGGTTTTGATTCTTCCTGGTTTTTTCCTTCTGTTGTTGCAAAAAAAAAAAAAAATGGTATAGTATCACAATAAAATAAGTCACAGATTCATGCTGTCTGGATGTTTTTTGTGGTGAGCTTTTTTTTTCTTTCTGATAGACTGCAGCAACTTTTGAAGATATTGAGAAACCAACATCAACTTACCAGAAGACTAAGCCAATAGAGGCTGGTAAGCCATTTCCCAAAATCATTTCTCTGGAGGCCCAGAGAAGCCCAAGGTCTGACTGTTGATGTAGCAGTGAGTAGTAAGGATCATCTAAAGGGAACCTCTGTACTTCCAAGCCTCTGTAACAACCTCTGCTCCTCTTTCCCTGCTCCCCTTTGGGGTTTTTTGCTTGTTTGGTTTTGTTCCCGTACCATGAGGAACATGAATCAAGGAGGGAAGAGTAAAGAGCAAGCGAGAGTGGGGAACAGATTGAGAGAGGGAATGGAGTGGTAGAGCCTAAGCCATGACAGAAACAAAGGAGGAGTGAGGAATGCTGCAGCAGATCTTAAGTCGGAGAGGAATGTGGCTTGCAAGAGGTTTGGGGTCAGAACAGTAGGGAAGCAGAAAGGGGGATAGAAAGAATTTCCTGAATGTGCTGTGAGCTCTGACAGCAGAAATTACAGAAATGTGTTCCATCACAATGGGAATTTATACTCTAATTCCAGGCTACCATAAGCAAAAGTCACCTGACTTTTTTTTAATGTTACAGTCGCTAATAAAACAAGCAGCATCCGAGCTAACTTTGAAAACCTAGCCAAGGAGAAAGAGCAGGAAGACCGCAGGAAGGCGGAAGCTGAACGAGCACAGCGAATGGCTCGGGAGAAACAGGAACAGGAGGAGGCTCGAAGGAAACTCGAGGTCAGTAATATTAAAATCCAAGTCTGACGTGTTTCAGTGTAATGTTGGGAGAAAAGAGTATCTTCTAAAAAGATATTTCCATGTTTCCAGCTAGGCCTAAAGGGTGTGTGTGTGTGTGTGTTTTGGTACTTGGGCTTTATCTGCTTGCAAAGTCAACCATCCATCAGCATGCAGCATATGTATATTGGACAGCAGACTGTGGTGATAGACATAAAACCTAATAGTATATGATATTTGTATTTACTCTGTTCTAAAATAAGTATGCTAGTCCTGAGCACTAATGTAGACCATCTGACCTTGTCCTACTTTAGCTGTGTTGTACTTCCTTCTTTTGGTAATATCAAGTTCTCTCAGGCATGGGGGAGTTGATGAGGGGAGAGACACGTGGGCTGCTAAAGGCCCCATGTCCTGGAGCAGCCGTTCAGCTGGAACCCCCAGCTCCTCGAGCCAACAGCAGCTGTCTTCACTCTTGAACTACTGCTCATCATTTCCAGCATGTTTCAGTGTCTTCAGGCTTATGTATCTCCAGCGTCTAGGTCTAGCACTGGGTTGTCTCCCTTACAGTGTGATTCTGCGCTGCTCACCCACCCGGCCCATGTCCTTGCCACCAGCACTGCAGCTTTGGGAGTCCCTCAGCTCGGGGGCAGATCTGCTTCTGCTCTTCCAAGGGGAGATCTCTCTTTTCCTGGCATTTCTCTTCCTGAATCCAAACATTGGGTCTGGATAGCACTCTGATCCGCTGACTGAGGATGTTGGAAAATTACCTAAGGTTTCTGCTTAGGATTCCCATTGGTCTTTTTCCCCTTCCATTTTGTCGTCCCAGCTGAGTCAGGGAAAAATTTCAGCTTTTCCCTTAAATCCCTTGCCATTCATTTTGGATGGTCCTATGCTCATAAATAAGATCTGTACGGGGTGGTGAGTTTGGGTTTGTTAGCCCTTTCAGCTTTTCCATTGAGGTTTCCTTCTGCTGAGGAAACAGTTCTCCAAAAGGGTTTAAAATGTAGTAACACAGACTGTAAAGAGTCACGGAACTGTTGCATTTTTTCCTTTCTCTCTGTGCTTTCTCTACTGTTATTTTTGTTGTAAGTGTGGCATAAATTCAAGCCCTTCTGCTTTATTTTTCCTGTGCTTCCATCAAAATTCTGTTGCCTGGACACATTTGAAGGTTTGTGGTGGTTTTTTTGGTTGGTTGAATGGCTGTTTCTATTTTCCAAAGCTGATATTTATTTAAATTTTACCATAACCAGATGATTAACGTTCTTTCCCGACTGAACATCTCCAAGGTTAATTGTGTGATTCTGCAGACACTAAGGGAGGAAGGACAAGGTTAAGGGGAAACTAAGGGGTTCTGGATGTGCCAGTTGCTCACAAATTGATCATGAAAGGACAAGGGATGCAACTACACCATCCGCAGATACCGTAAAGGATGTGGTTGGTGGAGCAACTTGGGTCTTGAGAGGACTTTATTTCTTCAAGAGAACTTCTTTGCATGGACAGAAAGTTCTCTCGCTTTAAGAAAGTACGTGGGCATATGTACTCCCACAGTGGGACTGTACATATGGGCTGCATTCCTCCAAGAATCCTCTTTACTGGTAATCCTTTTTCTTCTTTGCCTTTCACATACGTCACGTAGTCAAATGGTGCTCGGGGAGCAGCTCTTTAACGGCTGTTTCGAATCAACCAGTGCCTCATGGTTTTCAGATAGCCCCTGCAACCTTAGAGAACATTTCAAGATGCAGTTTCACAAGGAGCATTTTAATGTGGAAGAAAGCCAGCTCTGAGGTTGCCTCAGGGACACCACGCGTTTGGAAGGTTTTATGGCAGTCGTACTGCGAAGGTTTGAAATGCAGGGTGGATTACAGAGACCACTGCACAGGACAATGTGAAAACTCTTTCAGAGTTTGAAATAAGAGATTGATACCAATTAATTTGTCCCCAAATCTAAAGTGGAGTTGTAATAAATGCTTTGCCAGTGCTTTTTCAGCCATAGCCTAACAGTTGAAAGTGGGGAAGGGCTGGTCTCACGAGGACAGATTTTTCCACAGAGCTCAATATCAGGCTTTGAATTGGTCGTCAAAGATGGCTGTGTTCTCAAGACACATTTTCCTTTCATTGTTTGATGTATTTGATTCTGAGCTGTGACAAATAATGGAAAGGAAGAATTCTTTGTGATAGATTCCTATTGCTTCATCTCTGCACTATAATTCCTCCTGAGGATCCTTTGAGGAGTTGGGACTTGATGCACTTGACCAACTGCAGTGCACAGTCTCCCACTCCTCACCATTCCCTCTTTTTTTATTTAAATAATAAGCAAGAAATTTTGGCCATGGATCCACAGATTTTCTTTTTTTTTTTTCTCTCTCCAAGAGAGGCAAAATGAAGTAACTGGCTGACAGAACAAATTGCCAACTATTTTTAAGTCATGCAAGGAATTTAAAGTTTCTTGGGCTACAGTCTCCAGCTTCCTAGTGAAGTTAAGCCGTGGCAGTCGGGAGCCTGCCCTCTGGTTCAGGGGTGGAATGGCACAGTGTGAAATCCTTCAAGGCCAGAAGGCTTAGCTCAGATTCATGCTCTTTGTATAAAAGAATACAGCTGCTCTTATTTCTATCATTTGCAGTTCTTTTGGACACTTGAACCTCCTCATGGTCAGTATATAGAGGATTTGATTTTGTCCTAGCTTCTGCCTTGTTGGGTGCTCTGCAGACCTACCAAAGCTTATAGGATTGTTACAGGATTGTTTCTCATCAAAGATGTTGCATCAGTGCTGTAATTAGATCATGGAAGCATTAGGTTCTTTAAACTTGCACTAAGCAGGAACATGAAGCCCAATCAGCTAATGAGCAGAATATATTGAGTACAGAAACCCTGCAGCTCCTGTGGAAACGTGCCAAAGAACACTGGGTACTCCGTTTTAAACAGATGTATCCATACGTACTGTGTGGTTTTTATTTGTTTTTCTCTGCTTTGCTGTATCACTGAAGCTTTACTGTTTTAGCCAGTCCAAACTTCAGGCAGGCTTAATGATCCAGTAAGCCAAGTCCTATTTTCCTTTGTGTCAAAGTTAGGCTAATTGAAGCTTTTCTTTCTCTTTGATTAAGGAACAAGCCAAAGCCAAAAAACAAACCCCACCACCATCTCCCACCACACTGCCAGCTGAGCAGAAGGCGCCCTCCAGCCCGGTCTACGAGGTTGGTTAGAAACATTTAGAGTAACTGATTTTTGACCCTGAGTATAGGACCTGCTGTGTAAAATCCTGACAAACGTCATGTATGTCTTTGCAGGATGCAGTTTCCTATGAAGCAGAGCCTGCCCACAAGAATCCTGGTGCTGCGTTGCCAGAGCCTGGCCGCAAAGCTGCCGAGTCCGACTACCAGGAGGCCGTGAGTCAGCGAGAGCCCCAGTACGAGCCGGAGACCGTCTATGAAGTGGCAGGGGCAGGAGACCACTATCAAGCAGGTAGAGCTTCCTTTTCTTTTGCCTTCCGTAACCCTGCAGTACAATAAAACTTTGTTTCCGTGGGCAGTGACTTAAGGCGTTCTTGTGCTGCTGTGTCTCTGACCTGGTTTTCTAAGGTCTTGGTCTGATGAGAATTTTTAGATTCCGTGCCAACAAATGTTAATTGGAAAGCAAAGACGTTACTAGAGGAGGGTTGAAAGTATTTAACTTCTGTGGGATAATGCGGGAATAGTTATGATGGTCTTTAGTGTATTATTCCGTATTGATACAGAAATGCAGGAACAAGCACTCCTACCCTGTGCAATGCAGTTTAAAAAACAAACAAAAAAACACTCAAACCACTTAGGGATGGACTTCAAATGAGTGTCAAGCCAATGCTAACAGCTCAGAAGTTGTAACAACAGTTCTTTGGATTTGAAATTAATTTGCTATGTTTGGTGCCTCTTCATGAGGGACTGCAGGAAAAAGCTCTGAAACTAAAGTGTCACTGAAAGAATACAGTTCTCCTAAATATCTCTTTTTCTCACTTCTTCTGGTTACTAAATGAGGTGCGAAGAATGAATCTGTTCTGGTACAAAAACCTGGAATTTCTAAACACAGCATTTTTCCCTCACACACACGTGCCCGCTTAACAAATTCTATCAGTCTTTTATACCCTGACCTTGGGCTCAGTTACTGTTCTACCACATTTTACAAAAGCTTTCCTGGGATAAGACTATTTGTTTTCTGCTATATTAATACCTACTTATGAAGGTTTCCTTTCAGGATTTTGTTATATGTGTGATTAAAAAAAATCTCTAACAGAAGGTAAGTCATCACTGCTAAAAATTTGCATAGTGATTCCCCTGCTTTGTTTGTGGGTTAGCTATAGAATTAAAGCAGGGGTGCTACAGTATAAAAGCTTTGGCTGCATAGGTCGCATACATTAAGTTTCTAATTTGTTTCTTGTTCAACTCTCTTTAGAAGAAAATGCTTATGATGAATATGAAAATGAACTTGGAATTACAGCCATAGCCCTTTATGATTATCAAGCTGGTAAGCAAAGCTCTTGTTCTTAAACTTGTATTTTGAATTTTTTTTTCTCTTTCTGTAAAGGGATAGTAGTCTGGGTTTTCTGCTTCCTTTCATCTTGCAGCCTCTTGTTTACATAAAATGAAGATACAAAGAATTAGCAGTTAGCAAGTGCTTGGTTAGTGATTAGCAATAAATAGCATTGAGGCACTTTTGAAAACCACTATCCACTGTTTCTAAAGACCTGGAGGTTTCAAAAACCTCTGCTAGCCAAGTGTTAACCCTGTCCTAAACCCTTAGCATAAACAGTCAATTAATATCTTGACTGATTAATTCTGAATCAAAGGCAGGTAAATCTGAGGAGAATCAAAGAAGGTCCATCTAACTTCTCTACATGTTAGACTGCAGTTGTGGTTGCAGGTTAGAAATGCAGCCAACAGGCAGTAGATAAAACCGACTGCCTCTTCACTCTGAGGATGAGGAGGCCACCATCATTCCAGACTGATCTCATTCCCAAAAGCCCTGATGGGAGAGGGCGAGGTGTAGCTGTCTGTGTCATTTTTAGCAATGATCGACTGATAGATGAGATTGGAGCTGTGCAAAGTCGGAGCTGATGCCTCTTCTGCTCTTTCTGCAGCCGGTGATGACGAGATTTCCTTCGATCCAGATGACATCATCACAAACATAGAGATGATTGATGATGGCTGGTGGAGGGGTGTCTGCAAAGGCCGGTACGGGCTGTTCCCTGCGAATTACGTGGAGCTGAGACAATAGAGACGATTGTCTACTGGATATGCCTTAATTCCCCAGTCAATAAATCTGACTTAGTACACTACAAATCATGATGCTTTTCTGAGGATGGAGGGGTATATACATATTGCTTTTATATTTAATACCTTGCTGATGCTTTTTAAAATGTTTATGCCACAGAAGTTGCTAATATATTGTAACAATTCTGTTCTTCACTGAGGCTATTAAAATGATTTTCAAGCATTTTGAAACCTTTCTTCTCTGCCAAATTAGTAATTGTCATTGAAAACCCTTTTCGAGGGCAGTTAGCTGTCTGTCTTAATAGTGCATGTTTTACTCATAAGTGAGCAGATTTACCTAGTGTTTAAGTCTAGTTAGTCTTCCACTAAATGTTATCAGCTAAGAAAATCATGGCTCTGCAGGTTAATTGCGTTTTCACCCAGAGGGAGTGGGGAGGTCTGGAGAGGGGCATAATTTTTCTTTTTCCAGATAGTATGTGAAAAGGAGAGAATGCTTTGAAGTTGCAGCTAATGGCAATTAATCAAGTACTGGCCAATATCTAGTAAATAATATTGTTACGAAGGAAACAGTCTGGTTACTTTTTCCTTCTCTTTTAAAGTGAGATTTCTTGGCTTTTGCTTGGATTTTCCTGATCTTGGCCCTCCTCTTCATGTTATTCCAGGGAGGGCTGCAAACACTGTAGCGCTTTTTATTGGTTTTACTCTCCCCTCTCCTATATCCCAGGGAAACCTTAGAAAGTTGACAAGTGTTGTATACAAGTGTTGAGTCACCCAGAGAGGTTCCCATTTGCTCAAAAGGAAACTGACACCCAAATCTGTGCGGCTAGCTACAGGAATAGTGTCAGTGCTTTAAAATGAGAAAAAAAGGCAGCATGGAATTGCAGTTGCATTCTGTGTACCATATATCTTTTATTCATACAATGAAAACGGGCAGGCCTGCTTTGTAGTAATAACATTTTATATAACCATATTTAAGTCAAGGAACATTATGCAAATAATTTGAAACCATTATAGATAACCTCCGTTTCTAAGCTACATGGAGACACTACTTTTTTTTATGTTCAACAGAAACTGTCAGTAACATTCTGCTAAACAATGGAATTAGTTCTGTTCTTTGCCAAAATTAAAACTGAAATTCTTGGAATTCTAAAAAGCTGACTTCACTGCAGATTTGGGGTCCCTACCAAAGATAGTAAGTTGCATCTAATAGTGCATGTTAAATGTGTGTACTGTCTGTTTCCACCTTCTGATCAAAATAGGAATGACAGAATTGGCATGGTAGCTGAGAAAGAATGCAAAAGCTTTTATTAACTGGCAATTTGGACCAATGGAATATAGAAGAACTTGTATAAAATGGTGAAATGTATAATGTGTCTAGGAAGAAGGCATCATGTTGAAATCAATTCTTGGATGGTTGGGACAATCCTTAATGAATGTCATATGTATGTCTTAATTATATATATAATTATTTTCTTTCCCATGGTCTCATTTCTGTGTTATATTTGCATTACTAGGGTTGGGTTTTATATGCAGTTTATTTTATCCAATTTTGCGTAGACACCTCATAGGGGATATGATTTTTGTAAATTAAATATTCAATAAACTTTTTGAACCATTTCCATGGAATCTTTTTGCATTTTTAAATTACTTTGTCAGACTTCCACAGATTGTTCATCTAATCGCTTCTGCCTAAAGCTGCATATGGGACTGACTTACATACCACAAATAAAGCTTCTTGTAGAGAACTGCCGCATGATGCTTGGTACCGTCTCGAAGGGCACCTGAAGAACAGTGTGTTCTTCTAGGTTGCCTCTGCCTTCCAAATACTTCCATCTTATTCCTGCTCCTGTGGGAATATCTATGTGAAAATTAGACCAGCCATCCGCTACGATCAAGTAAGATCACACAGTGCTTTGAAGCTCTCCTGCCCTTGCTTGTGCCTGCTACATGGAACCTGGTCCTTAGCAAAGCTGTAAGTTTACTACTTTCACAGTCTTGATTTCTGAGGTTAAAAACCACTGAAGTGCCGTTGTTCTCCATAATTCCCATCACTAGGTATTGTTTTGCTGAAGGGTGCCTGGGTGGAAATCGGATGAGGTTATTAGGCTTTGCAAAGTGCCAATCAGTTGCTTTTGTTTCTGGAAGGGGGTGGAAGATCCCAAATTTTGCTGAACTATGGAAGAAAAGACCTGTCCCTGCATGTGTGCCCTCTGAGGTCAGATCCAAAGAAACGCTCCTGCATTTTTTTTTCCAAGACACTTGACCTATTTCTAAAAGTATCACTATTGCACAGTAAGAAATCACCTCTTTCCCTTTCTCACCTGTTCCTGTTGGGCCCTGTATTGTCTGAAATAGTTCAGCAGAGTAAATGCGGGCACCTGCCCAAAGGATGTGGCTGGGGACAGTGGCCCTGGCCGCAGGTGCTGCTCGTGGCTGCTGATGAGCCTCAAGGTGCTGCTGCCGCCTGGCTGGGACTGGAGTGCCCACGGACCGGGCAGCTGCTGGAAACATGAAGGAAAGGAAGAACTTCTTCATTGTTCCTAAATACTTGGGAAGCCCCCAGCGCGCAAAAGCCCTTGGGACAGCATCTGGACTCTGTGGGCACACGTGGCCAAGCAAGGATCACCACCAGGTAGGATGGCGCCGGGTGGACTGGGCAGGGTGGCCATAGCCATTGCTTTGGGGGGGTCTTTCTGATGCCATTTTTGGGATGGAAGAGAGGGTGGCTGCATGGCACATGGTGGCAGGTTTTGCAAGTGACCATGGCCTTGGAGGAGCAAGTGACCATGGACTGCAGGCGCATTGCTGCTACCACCGGGGTGAACTAACGCGTGTGCCGTTGCTGCAAGCTGAGGTCTTAGACTGTGTGGCAGACTGTTCAGAGACTGAGGCTGGTGCTAAAAGTCAGGTTTATCTTGAGGCAGACAGCTCATGGGTCTCTTGTGATGCCCCATCTCCCAGCCTTGCAGCTCAGGGCTTCCCGACTGGCTTCGTCCTGTCAGCCATTTTGTGTGAGTGGGGTGCGGCAGCTCCCGCAGAGGGGCTCAGAGCTAACATCTGCTTTTTGGATTATTTTATATATTGCAAACATTAGCAGGGCGGCTCAGATTTAAGGCAGGGCCTTGCTTCCAGCCTGTGTTCTCCAGCTTGTCCAACCTTCTGTGCTTCTCCCATGAGCAATGCACTGGCAGCCATGTCGCGGCTTGGGAGGACAGGAGCGCCTGGCGCTGGGGTGGGCAACCTCAGAGGGAAGGAGGAAATTGCACTGTGGAAACTCAGTTTTGCCTGCTGTGTGCAAACTCAATAAACTGTACTGTGGGGGAAGAAATACTGCAGTACTTCTGTGTTGGGCTGTAAAATGGTGAGGACTTAGACATTACTGAAAGGATAAATCGGGGGCAGTATCAATCAGCACGGTTATGGGTACATTAAGCCTTGGGAGCTTGTCCATGTATTGCTTCACACAATGGAGGAAGTTGCTTCTCTGATTTAAACTCCTAATATCTTCAGCATTTCCATGTGGCAAGCACATGTGATAATTTGGTATTTTTGTCAAGCATACTTGGGCAACAGTGTTACGGCTGTACTACTGTGAGACTAGGTGTATTCAAGCCCTGGAGTTTTAAGATCACTCTTACTCTTCAGCAGTAATTGCTAACCTTATAAGAAACCCATGCGCCTAGCAAAAAGAAACACCCGAAGTAGCTGAATTTATCACCAAATTGGCTGGCTCAGGCTGGTTTGAGGCTTGCTGATGAGCACAGAAAGCAAAACCCATTAATTTCTGTTACTGGTTGTCTTACCAAGCTGTGATCTAATTTTGTGTGAGCCATTTGCTTTCCCTGCACCGTGCATCCTCCCGCTGCTGCCGATCACAGTGCTCGTGTCGCTCGCCGGTGCGCTCGGGGCTGCTCGGGGAGGCAGTGCTCTTCACTAGTGGGGACAGTGCTTTTCGATAGCGGGGCCACTGCTTTTAATCATTATACGATCAACTGAGGTGCTTAACTTCCGACTGCTTGGCTTCTCAGCTGATCACAATTAAGCACATAGCAAGAACCCTCCATAGAGATCTGTATTTTTGCACCATGCTGTAATATTGCTAAGGACAATAATGGGTTGGAAAAGTTTTGAATAATAGTTTGAAAAACAGCACTGGGGGAAGCAGAGGAATAGGCCACAGATGTGAGTTACTGTTTGTTTTTCTGCTGGTCCAGCAGAAACTGGGATCACCATCCATGTTGTGCATGTCCTTCCTCAGCCTGGCTGGTGTGACGTGCTGGCTACCAACCACTTGTGAAAAGAAGGTTCCTGTCCTACAACATGATGATCCCCCCAGCTCTATGACTCCCGCTCTGTGCCTCCTCAGTCCCACTTGGTGCCTTCTCATGTTAATTGTAGGGAGCTAACTAACTCCTTTCTGTTCAAGGAATAAATTATCGGAATTAGCTTTCTTTTTCATGCTAGTTTGGCAACGGCTTCACTATGATGGAGAAAGCGAGAGCTCTTACCTAACACAAAGTCTCTAGCCATGGTAGCTGGTTCAGTATGTAATTACCCTGCACACCCAGCAGGTCCTATACAGACTGTCTGCATCAAGAGGCTGATGCAAATTGTGGCCAGCAGCAGTGCTTCAAAGACCTGGCAGAGCTTTGCCAGTGCATTTCTCAGATGCATTTTATCAAACCTTTCCTCAAGCTGCCGCTTTATTTTTAGTCCACACAGATGGCAGGCATAATAGGATGGTGAAGAATGCTTTTGCATCCAATTTATTTTGTGTAAAGCCATGAAGCTGTGAAATATTTTGCTAGGGTTTTATGTGCAATGGGCCATTTCCAATTGGTTAATCTGGACTGGATTTTTCAATAGAGAGGATCAGCCTGAATGGTTCTTCACTTTTAACCAAGGCAGAGGAGCAGGAAGCAGGGGAAATCAAAATCTGCAGTACAGAAGCTGCTCTGAACAGGCGTTTTAGTATCAATAATAAGGTGTATAAAAGAAGTATGACTATGCATATCAGTAAAATTTTACATTTCATGTTGTCTTCAGTCTTTCCTGATCCTGGAGAGTTGACTGTAATAGTAATCCCAGCATATTCCAGTTTCTAAAAGCCCCTTGTGATACAGAGTTCAAAAAATGTTTTGTTTTTCTTTTTTTTTTCATGCAGGCAGTATTTGCCTGGTTGAAGATTTCATAACTTCTTATAATGGGGCATGGAGGTTCAAGAGTCAGTCTGTGATTACCTACACATGTTACTGCAGGCCTATGTATTTCTAAATAGCAATGACAGACTAAAGACATGGTGCTTAATTTTACTAACTCTGAAGAAGTTTCCTCACATTCTTGACATGTTGAGCACAATACTTTTACTGTGATTTACAGACCATGCTATGAAGTGAGTTGGCAGAAAGGAAATGAATACGTTAGTTTGTGTAAGGGTGAAAGGAGCAAAAAATCGATCTCTAAAGTGTAATGCCAAGTGTCCAGAGTAGCGTCTTGGACGTCGTCCAGCTAATGAATCTGAATTGATTAAAACAGCTTTCCCTGCCACATTTGTCCCTGTGTCTGGAAGGTGCTGACAGAAGAGGGGCAATGCATCTTCCACTGTCTGGAAATCGCTTTATGTGCACGGAGGGAACCCTTAAAAGGAGGAGTTGCATAGTGGTATATTAAAGCTTTCCGCAAAATCAGATTTTCATGGCCAAATTCCAAAGGTCATGCGGAGTTAGGCAAGGTTATGCAGCAGTTACTCTTATTTAAGTAAGTAGAAAGGTTCAGCTGTTTGTGGCCACGAAAAAATGCCAAGTGTGTGTGAGACTGTAGGTGTGTATGAGTGTGTGTGTGTGAGCTTGCGTGTATGTGCCCATGTGCCGTGGCTCATTTTGGCACCTCTAAGCAGCTGACTACTAGTTCTTTTGCCCACACTAGCTGTAAAAATGTCAAGGAAAAGGCTTTATAGCTTCTGTTAATAGCAGTTTTCCTCATTGTTTGATGACCAGTAAGGTTGTCATGGAATAACTGTTCAAACTTTCTAATTATATAAAGAAATATTTTGCTTTATAACAGTAGTGATGAGCGAGCAAGTGGTCAAAAAGCCCTGCTTATCCTGGAGGCTTGGGACCAAGGACGATGCTAGGCCCTCATTTTCGTCTCTGCTTCACCTCTTATCCTGGGACTGCCTAGTTCACCCGTTTCTAAAACAGGCCCCACAAGTCGCTCGCACAGGCTCATCTTTGAGCAGCTGTTTCACGTGGCTGTCCTTTGCGTTTAGAAGGAGAGGATTTATTTGAAGCTGTCAGTTGTATGCTGTCCATATCTTGAGGCTTGTTTTGTCATTGTGGTTCTGAGCGAGAAGGTGCCTGGTGGCAGGACACAGCTACGTGGTTCTCCAAGGAACTGCTGTCAGTGCCTGACCTGGGTAGCAAACCTGTGCTGTGGGACTCAGAGCAGCCTCCAAATGGGAACGGGATGTCCTCAGGGGGTCACAGTTCAGCATTTCCTTTGTATATGACAT